CCCCTTTGCCTTCCGTCCCTGCAAACGCCAGCAATCAAGGCCCAAAACTGCATCCACGACGCCGCGGCGTCCCGTCACAAAACCACGTCCGTACTCATAGGGGCATGGCGCCCCGCCCATCGACGGCCTCCAGGTCCAAATCCTCGTCGGCGTCGTCGTCGTCGTCCTCGGCGTCGTCCTCGGCGCCAAAGCCAGAGTCCATCTCCAGCCTCCTCAGGCGCCTCCTCATCTCGTCGCGCCTGACGCACTGCCACCGCACCAGCGCCGCCGAAGCGTGCACCTTGAACCCGTACACGCGCGGCACGTACCGCTCCATCGTCTTGGTCGGGATCAGCGCCGGGTACACCTGGAAGATGATGTTGTGGAACGAGGTGCCAAAGTAGGCGCCGTCAATGGTCGCGTGCCGGCTCGACTTGGGGTTGTAGATGTCCTCGCACCGCGCGCAGAAGAGCCGGACGGGCTTGACGTTGGGCACGTCGCTCAGGCCCATGGGCAGCAGCGGGTGCGAGTGGCAGTTTACGCGCGGGCACTTCCCGAACTCGGCCTTTTTGTACTTGTCCAGCTGGGTCGTCGGATGCGCCCGTGTCAGTCAGTCACCTTTTCCGGGCGGGATAGCTGGTTCGCACCATCTTTGTCAGACCCCGCGTCGTGACGATGTACCTCGCGTGTACTAGGCCGTACAGATGCCTCGCCGACTTCTCGATGGTCTCGCGCATCTCGTCGTCGCAGTCGAGGTCGAAGACGTCTGTCACCAGGTCCAGCGCGTACTGGTAGTACTGCACTTCTGTGTTGAGCCCCGTCAGGTTGAACCGGTCGGTGAGGTAGTCTTCGTCGATTTCGCAAAAGTATTCGTTGCCACGGGATGAGATGAACTGTTGCTTGTGTGTGTGTGGTTGTTTTTTTGCACGGTCAGCAAGGTCTCCTTGCCTTTCAATTGCACGCCTTCGACCCGGCGGCCGGGTGGCCTCTGGGATATTGAATCCAGACGGAGAGAAGAGGTTTTGCCGGAGGCTGGCGGGGGTGCATGGTCACATACCCAGTCTCGCCAATAACTCGTGTAGTCACTGTCGGACTCACTGACGTAGTCTTCCATCATTCTGCGCGGACCGGCTACCGGCGAGCTTCAATGTTGTACGTGAGGCCGACCGTGGCCGGAATGCGTCGACGTTGGGATTTGGGAGGTGATTTCGTGCTGAGTGTGGGGGCTGATTGGTGCGATAACGTGACTTGGCATTGTGCCAGTGACTCGTGACTCGCGAGGCACCTTGGAAGCCACCCGCAGGCGACGACATTCCGCCACACTGCCATCGACCAAGAATGCTATTCCCGCCAGTCTTCTAACGCTGCCATCCAAAAAATGACCTCCGTCTAGCTACAGCTAAGCCCGCCTCCTCCTGTCCGTGCATTTGCACACGCCTGCGTTAATTGTATGCTCGCCTCCGCACTCACGGTGACCTGGATCCGTTCAAATGACTCGCCGCCGATTCAATACTGGATGCGTCGCTGGCCGACGGCAAATCAGACTCTGTTTCCTCTTCGTCGCTCATAATACCTCTGCCAAGGCCATTGGCAATCCTAGAACCCGGCATCAGCAACCGGCTCGCAATCTCCTGGGGAGCCGGTCCTTGCTTCTGTCCCGTGTCTACCATGTCCATGACTTCCTTGAGCGCCGCTCCCGTCTCATCCATCGCCGCCAAGAAGCGGGCTAGCTCTTTGCACAGCTCCCAGTCTCCCTCTTGGATTGCCCTCGATAGGACGCGGACCGACTGGCCAGTCAGTGACTGGAATTCCTCGAGTGTGTGCAGGACAATCAGGTAGCCGCCTGCGGTTTTGAGCGAGCCTCGTTGCAGCGACTCCTCAAACAGCTCTTGCGCTGGGGGAAGGTACGCAAACAATGTCTTCCATTGCCGCACCTCTGTTTTTCGGGTGCACTGTAGCACCACGTCTAGATACTCCTTGCATGACGATGACAAAAGAGAAAGCACTCGAGGGAGGACAGCCTCCTCGGGCTTCGGGCATGTATCTGCTTCTTCGTCTAGGACACGATGAAGCAAGATCTCCAGTCCGTGCGACAAGTACTCCAAACTTTGGTACTGTTCACATAGCTCCCCTGCTTCAGTCGTTCTGCCTTGTCGCAGGTAAAAGCGCAAAATCTCGGGCAGAAACAGGTGTGTCTGGATAAACGTCAGCCTCTCCTCGCCTCCCGAGCAAGACGCTTCTGGGGTCCACTTACCCTGATGGCGAAATGGAAAAATGAAAAGGTGACGTCTCGCCTTTGCACCAAGTCTGATTCAACCCCCAGTATGATGCCCTTCTCCGGGAGAACCGACAGGGGATAAAAATCCACAGGAACAGATGCGGGAGCCGGAAAGTCTTTGCCGCCGTCTGTCGAAGCACCGTCCAGCAGTTCGTTGATATTAGTCCATGCCTTGACCTCCATGCCGTCGAATACCCATAGTGAGTCTTTTAATATTGGGGGCCCACGTCTGAGTGACGGCTCGTCCGACAAATGGGCCGCGTTCAGCAGCGGCTGGTCTCTCATGCTGGCATGATACTCGACGTTTTGCGCAATGATACGCATATCGTACTTCAACTGGCCTTCCTCGTTGAGTGAGGGGCTCAGAAGAACCAGTTTCCCATCCACCAAGAATATCACAGACGCTACAGCCACGTCGTGAGAAGGGTCCCCGTCTGTGATTTGAGATCCGGGTAATATCCAGCTGAGCCCCCGAACCCTGGCAGGGGATCGCACTATGCCGTGAAACGCAATCTGTCCCACCTGAACGAGACCAACAGAATCCGCCCATGGGGTAAATATGAAATGGTACAAAATATTCTCATACGTGTAAACAAGAAGAGAATCTTCACCAGACGTAGTCACGAGCACAACTGGTGCGGGTATCTGCTGGCGGTACACAACATGAGACGTGTCGAGGGGGGTCTCTCGCGAGAAGAGACGCAGCTCGTAGCTTCTGTTGCTCTCAACTGCGGCGACGAGAATATGCTGGTGCCAACACATGCCACCTCGGACCTGAAAGTCGTTCTCCATGGCTTCAGTGGTAAATGTCTTCCATCGTCCGCTGTTGACGCTGTAATGTGCAAGGCCGCGGCGTCCGGCAACTGCGACGTATCTTCCGTCAGAAGATATAACTGTCTGGCGGATGGGCCATTGATTCAACAAATATGTTGGGGGTATCCTGGCCGTGTGCCACAGGAAGGGCTCGGCCGAAATGCTGGTCATATCGGGGAGGTCATATCCTCTGTACACCATTACCGCAGACGGGGTCTGAAGGACGGTCCGAAAGACGTTTGCTTCGTTGTAACAGCCCGTGACTGCATTCTTGGCCATCTCTAGACTCCAGATGGCCTCGTGTCGAGGGCCTGCAAGCAAGATTTCGGAACCACCTCCGATCCACAGAGCTGACGATACTCCGGTGAGCCACTGCTCGTCGTTTCCGTCGGAAATGCCCGCATCGCACCCAAAACTATTGCTGCCCAGTTTGCCAAACATACTCCACGTCGACCATCCTTTTTCGAATCCAGCAAAAAGGCAGTATCCGTCAGGAGAGTAGCACAGGGAAGTGAAAGCTCCGGCAACAGCGTTTGATACGGGAATTTTGTGCTTATGTGAGAGGACGATATTCCCCGAGTAATCTCGAACCGAGTAGACGAAGACTGTGCCGTCGGCACAACCTGCCGCAATGAGTGAGAATCGGGCATTTATAACAGCCTTGACAGCATGACTCGCAGAGGTATGGGGAATGTGAAAGCAGTAGCCTTGGAATAAACGCTTTGTGTCGGCACTTTCAGAGTCCGTGTCCCCCTTCAAATGTTGTCTTTGCACGGCGTATGCTCGCCCATCGCTGGTGATCCAAGTCGCTAAATTCATGGGTCTGTCGTATTTCATCTCCAATATAGATGTCTTATTCTCAACCCACCCCATCTTGCTGATTATCTCGGTTCTCGTTTGGTTGCCTGTGCTGTCCGGCGCCCATCGGATGCATTGAACAGCAGCGGGCTTCCTTGTCGCCACGACCAGTTCGTCATCTAGCGCCAAGACACTTTCAATGCCAGCATCAATCTTGATCACCATTCGGAATCGCACGCTGACGTCACGAACCCCAGAGCCTTCTCCTGGGCCCCAGAGAATTTGGTCTCCCCTCAGCGCCGCTTGAGGCCCAATGAGACTTTGTTTTCGCCGTTGGATATTGTGGTGGTTTGGAAATTGGGGCTTGTAGACACACGACTCGCCATCGGTAGCTATCGAGTAGGTGATGAGGTATCCCTCGGAGGTGTGAACCACCAGAATCGCGGAGTCTGGACGTAACAGGAGGTCGACATTGGTTCCGTAGGATTGGATAGAAGATCGGGATCGCACGACGACTGCAAGTATAACAGTAGGCTACAACATATTAGTATGTAGGCCATCACTATGACCTGTCCAGGAAAGTGAAAGAGAGGGTGACCTGACCTTGGTTTGCCACAGGGTAATACTTGTCGGCGTGACGACGCCAAACATGTGACCAGTGCGGGTAAGGGCTAGGGCGAGTACGGGATCTTTCAGTGGAACTGCGGCTTTCTTGCTCCAGCCAGTCGACGGCGAAGAACTCTTTGCTGAAGAGAATAGGTCGTCTCCCAGGATGGGCTGGGCAGCCGGCGTGGCTGGCGCCAACGGGGCGGGCGGTGGTTGAAAGAAGTCGTCGTCGTCGTCGAGTCCAGCAACGGGTGATGCCGCAGCTCGGGCCTGTCCATCTTGGCCTAGGGATGACGGAGAACTGCATGCGTCGGGCTGCTGGAGGCCGTCATAGGACACAAAAAGGTTGAGATTAGGAGAGCGGCCGCTGCTGGTGGCATAGATGCGTGGAGTTCCAATGGGCCAATACATTATGGCCGCAATCTCCTCGGCGGGCCACCATGTGCGTAGGGCTTGAGGACGACGGTGAGGCTATCGCGCTTTGCTGCCCATGTCCGTGGATGGGGTCCCATTGGTCGAGGCAGGGTTCCGCACCATTGACTGAGGAGCCTTGCTGGTTTTCTGGGGACGAGCTGGGAATGAAGGTGCAGATATGGAGCAATTGCATGAATGGCTGTTTGTTTGCAAGCAACGAGCTTCTTCGACCCCGAGCTACGGAGTTGCGATGTGTCGGAACAGAGCAGAGCGGGGCGGGCGACGCGAGTGGCGCAGGGCGGTTACGTAAGGGTCAATACGCACTCCGTGATACTCGGCGGGTCGGTACTGAGCACTTAAGTACCTAGTAACTTGTCAAGTCCCCAGGTAACAGCAGTCCGGATATTGCTTTTTGCGCGGAGGACTGTTTCTTAGGGGCAGACGGAGTAGATTACGGATTGTTATGGTCCCAATTTCTGCATGCAATATTCCAGTATTATGTCTGTGCATAGCGCGGCGCATCCCAAGTCGGAATCCGGCAGCCACCTGCACATCAAGATTACCTAAGTATCTATCTATCAGTCAGGACTGGGGAGCAATAAGAGTGCGGAGTACGGAGTACGGAGTAGTTACCTGAGTAGTCATACTCCGTCGTAGTACCGCTACACAGAGCTCTGCTCGGGCAAGCTGCGCATGCCTTCAGAGCGTAATACGACAGACCAGGTGACCCTGCACCGGCCTCCCCCGTTGCCATCTGGATCCAACCATTGACGCCCTGCTCCGCTCCTGGCAGTCCATCAAGGCCGCTGATTCAGTGGATAATTGCGGCTAGGATCGGTGGCCCCTGCCGACGTGGACGCCGGGGCCAGCCTGCCATCCTGAACATGGCGCGCCTGGACCCCCGGAGTCTTGGCGCCGTGACCTCCGAACTGCACTCAGTACTCCTTGGCACTTGGAATTTGGAACTTGCACCAGACACACTTTCCTCCCCCATGCCTGAATGCCAACTGGTTGTTTTCCCGTGTTCAACAGTTGGCATACTTGTGTCTTCAAGCTTCTGAATGACTCTCTTTTTACACGCTCAAGTTGGCATTCTACTCAACTAGGCTACGAATCCATCAGACATAGACGCACACACACACGTACACACACGCGCACACGCACACACATTCTGTCTCTCCGTCTCGCTCTCAACTTGTTGGCTTGCCCAAACCAACATGCCGGTAGCAACACCCCACAAAACCGTGGATGGCCATGACGACCAATCACAGCCCGCTCCCCCGGATTTCAATGACCTCAGCAGCCACGCCGCTGCTACTGCCCTGAACGGGTCCAAGAATGGAACCACGTCAAGCCCATCCGTCATCGACGTCATATTGGCTAGAAGGGCCAAGGCCGGAAAGCTCGTCGCCGGTGTTGCAGCTGCTTCAGACAGTGATATGTGGAAGGGACCGGTAAGTGGCCATGGCACCCAGTCGTCACCCAGCACCTACCGAACCTCACGCCTTTACACAAGCACGTACAGCCCACAAGACACCTTGTTGCTAACATGCAAATAAGCAAACCGGCAAACCAAAGGCGAGGCGCTGGGAAAGTATGTAAACCCTCAACCCTCTATTTCTCGTGCAAATCCGGCTCCACTTCACTTACACGGTCCCCCAACAGGCCATCTCAGCAAGGAAAGCCTGGGACGCCAGCCGTGCACCCTCAAGCTAGCAGCAAAGCATCTGAAGAAGCCAGGCCTCATCTCCCTTGGCGGCGGCCTGCCTTCTAGCGAGACCTTCCCCTTTGCTGAACTCTCCATGAAAGTACCCGTGGCCCCTCACTTCTCGGAACGGGAAACACTGGAAAACGGGCAGACCGTCACCATTGGAAAATACGATGTGCGTGACCACGACGCTGTTTACGACCTATCCATTGCCCTCAACTACGGCCAGTCTACTGGCTCAGCGCAGATGATGCGCTTCCTCACCGAGCACACCGAGATTGTGTGTAACCCCCCCTATGCAGACTGGCGCATCTGCCAGACCATTGGTAGCACCGGCGCGCTGGAGCAGGCCTTTCGAATGTTCTGCGACAGGGACCGAGGCGATTCCGTTCTGACCGAGGACTTTAGCTTCTCAACCGCCCTGGAGACCGTTATCCCTCTCGGCATCAAAGTTTTCGGCTCCCCCATCGATGATGAGGGCCTCGTACCAGAGGCCATGGACATGCTCCTCACCAACTGGGACGCCAAGGAGCGCGGCGCCAGAAAGCCCCATCTCTTGTACACCGTCCCCTCGGGTCAGAACCCGACGGGTGCTACGCAGGGCGCTGGGAGGAGAAAGGCCATTTACTGCGTCTGTCAGAAGCACGACGTTTTCATCATTGAAGATGAGCCGTACTACTTCCTTCAGATGCAGCCTTACACCGGCCGCAACCAGCCCGGGGTTTCTCCCCCCAGCACTGTGGAGGAATTTGTATCGTCCCTGATCCCGACGTACGTCAGCATGGACATCGACGGTCGTGTTCTGCGCATGGACTCCGTCTCCAAAGTGCTCGTGCCCGGCTCACGACTCGGTTGGGTAGTTGGCTCGGAGCAAATCATCGAGCGGTACCAGCGTCATGCCGAGGTGGCCAGCCAAGGTCCCAGCGGCTTCTCCCAAATCATTTTGTACAAGCTTCTCGATGAAACGTGGGGCCACGAAGGCTACCTCCGGTGGCTGATGAATCTGCGCATGCAGTATACCAAGAGAAGGGATGCTCTTCTCGCTGCATGCGAAAAGCACTTGCCACAGGAAATTGTGTCCTGGACTCCGCCGGCCGCTGGCATGTTTGTAAGTGCATTTATTTCCACCCTTGCCTCCGGGGTTGAACAAGCACACTGAAACGAGCATTGTAGTTGTGGCTGCACGTGGACTACGCCAAGCACCCCTATGCCGCGACCAAGTCCCTCGTCGAAGTCGAAGAAGAGATATTTGACTCGTGCATCGACGGCGGCGTCCTCGTCGCGCGAGGGTCTTGGTTCTTGGCTGAAAAGGAGAAGCCAATGCCGGGGTTGTTCTTCCGCGCCACATTTGCGGCTGCCAGTGCAGAGAGCATGGATGAGGCTATAAAGAGATTCGGCCAGGCTGTACTGCATAGTTTCGGCAACAAGTAAAATGGCACTGGCTAGCTTTCAAAAGAGATCATTGTATCTGAAAATATTTGCCTCTGAACCATGAAATTCATTGCTATCATTACCCCAGCCGAAAAATGCCATCAGGCTTGAAGTTGACTAGACTATTTTGCTTCGTTTCGCATTCATTCCTCAAATCATTCCGTCTTGGCGTTTCGGGCTTCCCAAAACGCCACGCGCACTCCTTGTCCCGGCGACAAAACGACGTCTGCTCTCAGCACGGGTTTATTCACATCAAGCGCAAACATGTGGTTATCTAGACGATCGAAACGCTGTAGCATCCTAACGAGAACGTAGCTCATTTCTGTGAGAGCAAACTGCTGACCTATGCAGATACGGGGGCCAGCATTGAAGGGTATGTACTGATGCGGCTGCGGGTGCCAGGTTGTCCAACGCTCGGGGCTGAATAGAGCAGGGTCGGCAAAGGTCTCCGACACAGGAGGATACAGGTCCGGGCGGCGCTGCATAACAAGAGTCGAGTAGGCGACCTTTGTGTCTTTGAGAACGGGAAGGGGTTCCGTCCCTTGGGGTCCACCGCCACGGGGGAGGGTGCAGTCCTTGAGGGCGAGGCGAACATTGAACGGCACAACAGGGTAGAGGCGAAGCGTTTCATTGATGACAGCCTTCATGTAAGGCATGTTCTTGAGATGTGCGTAAGTTGGTGGCTTGTTCGGGCCGACAACCTCGATAATTTCACGACGCATCTTGGCAAAACATTCAGGGTGGCGAGCCAGCTCGTAGATGGCCCAAGATAGTGTTGCAGCAGTGGTGTCGCGACCTGCAAGTAAGACGGCAATGACCTGGTCCCGGATAACCTTGGGGTCGCGAGTAAATCTAGCAAGTTCATGGAGAAAGGTATAGCCCTTATCGGCCTTGCTCTTGGACTCAAGTTCTTCGGGGGCCATTTGCAGTGCTAGGTCGATGAAGCGCCCGACGAAGGTGTTGATGACGCGGAGATCAGCACGATATTGCCATTTTGGAATCATCCAGCGGAGCCCGCCGGCACGCGAGGCCATGTTTTGGAAGCGCTGGGCATTATTGAAGGCTTCGGCGAATGGCTGCTTTGGAGTGCTTTTCATCCATGTCAGTAGGGCAACAAGAAATGGTTTCTTTTGAAGTTATGGGAGCAATCGCAGAGAGAACATTTTAGTTTGCAGGGAAAGCTGCCGTACCTCATCGACTTGACGTCGGCTCCAAGGAGGAAGTCAGTGGCAACATCTAAGGTATATCGATAAAACAAATCGGCAATGTCAACGACGCGTCCATTGACCTTGTTCATATCTACCAATTGGTTCTCTCCTTGTAAAGCACCTCCGTTTGCCATGGCTCTGAAAAGAGTATCCACGTGTGCCTCGAAGCAATCAAGATCGCTGACACGATCCCTTGTGAACTGGGGTCTTAACATCTGCCGACTGTTGTGCCACATGGCGCCATCGGTTGTGAAGATACCATCCCCCAGAAACTCGCTCCATTCTCGGCGAAAGGGCTCTCCTTTGCCAAAATCAGAAAATTGCGTTGCTAGGAGGGCCTTGATATTTTCCGGGTCAATGGTGAAGATGAGGCGTTCAGTAACAATGCGAGCCTCAACCGTGTTGCACTTGTTGCGCTTGAAGAACTGATCGCGCCAGAGTTCCAGGCTGTTATGCATCCTCGTCGCGCGGATACCTGTCCAAATTATATCGAGGCCTATTGGTGGTTAGACTGACAAAGCGGAAGATGTTGTAAGGCAGGCCAACGAACCCAATGGAACCCAGGTTCCCATGTCCTTGCCGTAATTTCCAAGGTGTTTGATTCGGCGATGTTGGTCGAAACGTCGAATCAGGCCACGAAGTACAAGGGCAAAAAGGAGAAAGGAGAAGATGAGCTTTGCAGACAGTTGCTCTGCGACGACTTCAAGGACACCCATGACGGCTGTTGAGAACGAGGGGCTTTTCCAGGCAGATGATGAGAATCATTCAATGCATGTGAGACCAAGCCGAGTGTGATATTAGCAGAAATGAGGAGAACGGATTCTGGTCACCTTTTAAATCTGACTTGGGTGAATCGAGATTCGAGACGAGTGACGCAAGTACCACGAGTTAAGTGCCCGACTTGGAGCGCCCATTCAGGATAAGTGAAGAAGGGAAGATATAACGTATGACCAAGGCTAACTCCGGGGGAGTCATCGCATGTATATGGTTGGGTTGGCATTGACGGAGGCGGCGCAGCACCAGACCTGGAAGTGAGAAGTACCGAGCGACGTTGGGGTCCGCATCAACTGTAGTTACCAATGGTGCGGAGTACGGAGTACTCGGTCTGTAATTGCAAAAGGGCGATAGACGGGATAATGATGATATGATTCTCAGCTAGCACAAGTGTCAACGTCGGCCGAACCCAACCCCGTTGGCGCTAGGACATTTTACTAGTGAATCCCTGGTCGTCGGGTCTCTTGGAACCATTGCGTCGGCCCAGTATGGAGGAAGTGGAGGGAAAATTACGTCGAGGGCGAAGCAAGATGAAGCTAAGGTTGTTTGCTTGTTTATGGCATTGGTGCAGACGGGAAAGGCCCAGGGCGCAGAAACAAAATGAGAGTCAAGAGTCGAGACTCGAGAAATCCTGGCCAAAACGACAAGGCGCACCCTCCTCCTGCCTTGTGTGGACACGGCCGTGAGCAGCTCCTTCCCAACTGTGCTGGTCAAGTACTAGGTACCTACTTAACTTACTAGCAGGGTGCTAGTGGTTTTTGGGTTGAAGTCCAACTGTTTTAACTTTTGCTAATACGTATGCAGATTCAATTTAATCTGCCGAGGGTTATTGTTCACGTGCCAGATGTCCAGACTCCCGACTCCCGAGTCTCCCGTACCGCCAAACAATCGACAACATTGAATCAAACTTGCTTGGCGCAGAGCTGCCTGTTGTTCTTGATCGGCTCAAGTCCGTTCCCTGCACAGCGGCTCAATGCACCTGTTTGCACAGAGTATGCACGTTGTGCAGATATTCTGCACTCGTCATCATTCTCTGGTGACTTTCGGCCTCGGCCATATTCTCCGGTTGGATCCATGATCAATTGCCACTGTGGCAGCGTGGCTGACATTGTCAGGACGCTCTCAGAACATTCTCATGTAACTTTGCCCCATTCAAATCCGCAACCTTTTAGTCCCCGACAAACGACAAACCGTGGCCAAGTTGCACTGCCCTCATCACTTGTCATGACGGTTGAGTGAAACACAAAGGGGCCGGTTGCATGGCTCTGGCGCTTCGTAGCGGTCGATCAACAATGCACTGTCCCGTCATTCACCCTTGGCTTGATACATCATTGCTCATATATCACATTTTTGGACTTGTTGATCACACGTCCGCGGCGATCTTGTCAATGACTAATCAGTCACGTGATTCATTAACGGGGTGCGTGGTGATTGCTAATCATGGATGATGGATGGATGCATCTAGATACTCTCTCCTTGAGCACCTACCAAGGTAAGGAGATAGGTTACGCCGGACTAGTGGTCAGAGCCTCAAAACTGTTAGAATAAAGCCCGCCTTCTTACTTCAAGTACGCAATCAAGTGGGCGATTGTGGTCACTGACTGGTGCTTCAACCAGCTGCACAGCAGTTGCATGCAGCCATGGCCAGGGAGAGAAGGAAGCATCACGTGATCCATCGCAAGTACTCCACCTTTTTCTCTCATGTTGCCTCAGTTCTGTGATTGCAGCATCGATCTAATATCTTCGCCTCGACCATTCTTTGTTCTGCAACACCCGCGCTCTCGGCGTGAATGATTGGCAGTGTGAAGTGAAGCACTCCAACTTACCCTTCGCAGTGATAGCAAGGTCAATCTCAACCCGGCGACGAAATTGAGCAAAGGAAAACCTCAACCGACGCGTCTATATATCAGACACCGGAGTCGACGCCGCCACCGGCGTATCGCAACGACACTCACCTTCACCTCTATCACCACGACTCCCTGCACGCTCTTGAAACATCGAATATGTCGGTCGAAGTTAGCCTGAACACTCCTCTGGCGGATGCGCTCTATGCCGCCATCAAACCTAAGCTCATCGAGGTGGGATGGCATACTGGCTCCGATGACTCTGCAAACCTTTCCGAGTACATTGTTCTCATGCTCGTCAACGGCAAAACCCAGGGTCAGATTGCTGCAGACCTTTCAACCGACCTATTGCAACTCCCTGCCGATGATACTACCGTGCACGACTTTTCAAGATGGCTCTTTGAACAGGTTGGCCTGCTGAATGCGCAGTTGAACGCCGGCCCGAGTTCTCATGGAGATACCCGAGAAGCCGCATCGCATGGCATGGGTCAAGAAGGGGCAGACATGGACACGGATATGAATGTCCATGATATTTCAGAACTGAATGCGTAAGTACAGAATCCGCTCAGCCCTTGTTGTTGTCGCCCTGGTTATGCTATTCGAGACATCTAACTCACATACATGTGTAGCCCTACTGGCCCCCGCTCGATGCGCAATGGAAATTTCCGAGGTGGTAGAGACAGGCGAATGCTCGGAAACTTGTCAAAAGCCATGGACCGGACCAGCGACACCGCCCTCCACCGGGTACGAGGTAGCGGCGGTGAGAGGATCAACACTCACGGTCGCACCCCACCATCCGGGCCTCGAAACGCCGCCCATGGACGTATGCAACGGAACAACCGTTCCACGAACTTTCAGGCTGGTCTGGCTGCGGGTCCCCAAAACACCGGATGGATGATGAACGGACAACAACCGAGCGAGATGGATATCGTGGCCATGATTGAGCAGCAGCATCAGATGATGTACCAGCTGTCACAGCAGCTGATGGCCGGGGGAGGACATAATAGAGGGTTCGGAAACCAGCGACGGGGCAAGTCATTGTTTGACAGAGTTCAACAGCCTCACCAGCGGAGGGGTAACCAACAGGCCAAAGCCGACGGATCAAAGGAGAATACCGAGGGTGAGGAAGATGTTGACATGTCTGGCGAGAATCGCAACCCCCCGAACCCCGACGACACTCTTTGCAAATACAACTTGCATTGCACAAACAAGGAGTGCAAGTTTGCCCATCAGTCGCCCGCTGCGCCTCCCGGCGTGACTGTGGACGTCAGCGATGTATGCAGCTTTGGGGCTGCCTGTAAGAATTGGAAATGCGTCGGTCGCCACCCCTCGCCAGCCACGAAGCTGGCGCACCAGGGCGAACAGGACTGCAAGTTCTTCCCCAATTGCCAAAATCCGCGGTGTCCATTCAGGCATCCATCCATGCCGCTGTGTCGCAACGGTGCCAACTGCACTACCGAGGGCTGCAAGTTTACTCACGTCAAGACGAAATGCAAGTTCAACCCCTGCATGAACCCTACCTGTGCTTTTGCGCACGAAGAAGGTCAGCAAGGCGGTTTCAAAGATAAGGTCTGGACTGCTGATTCATCCAACGGGCACGTGAGCGAGAGGAAGTTTGTGGAAGAAGGTGGCCCGACAGAACTTGTAAAGCCCGACGAGACGACAACCGACCAAACAGCTCAGGGTGCCGAGTTTATCGGATAAGTGCTGTCGGGGAGCATGAGAAACCGTCCAAAGGGAAAGACTAGGGGAGGCTTTTGCGAAGTGACCCTGAAAATAAAAGAAAAGAAGCGAAGCGACTTATCCAGAGAGTATTGTGCTGGGGGCCGTGTACATTATTGGTGTGGACGTATGTTACTGTCACGACGAAAGGGCATGGAAGGCGTTTTATTGTTTGGGGGCGGCGAGGATTCTCGAGATATCTCATGTCCTTGCGAGGGCAGCACGCAGCAATGGGTGGCGGTGGTGGAGTGACGGGGTTGTGACTCTTGGAAGTTTCTGGCGCACAGCTCAAGTAAAAAATGAATGAGCTGTTGGTCACGAAGGAGGAAGGGGAATGGGAAATCAATAGACTACAGCTTCTCTAGTGCTGTCTACACATACGTTTTAATGCCTGGTGTTCCATCGCATCCATCCACAGCTCTAAATGATCTTCATCATGTGTAGGCAGGCATCCATCTGGTCAGCTCAGTCCGCCTGTGACGTGTAACTACAAAGTCGACAAAAAACGTGTCTGGTCGATGCATGTCGCTGGGTAAGGAGAGGCGGTCAACTGGCGGTTCCTCCTCGATGCCTCAGTGCGGAACCGCCCGGTCGTGCGTCAGCAAAGAAGGACGTCACCCGAGCTCGACCCGGATCGGCCCACCGCGCTCAACCTCGCAACTCACATCCGTCATGAGCAATTGAAGTCGTACACACCACAGGGATGGGTCGGAAACGGGCAGAAGACGCTGCTATGGCGCTTCTATCTCTGGCATCGGCCTCCCGGGGCTGCACCAGGACCAGCATCACGCGAAGCTCCCCATTGCGCTGTCTGAGCAGCGTGGGCACATGGTCACCACCGTCGCCAAAGTCGAATTCTCGATATCCAGGTCGACGCTGCGGCGGGTGCGTGCCGAACCATGCCGCGCCCGCGTGTCGCTCAACTGCATCGCCCGATCGAAGAACGTACGCGACGCACAACAAAAACAACAAGGGGGACATTGCCGTCATCGGGGGAGGCTTGACAGGCCTCTCGACAGCGTACTATCTCGCCAAGCAGCTGCCGTCCACGGCCAAGATTACGCTGTACGAGGGGAGTGACCGGCTCGGCGGATGGATCCGAACCGATCGCGTGCCGGTCGACGTCGAGGGTGTCAAGGGGACGGTTAGTTTTGAGAGGGGCCCGAGGACGTTGTCGTCGAATCATCTGAGTACGTGGAAGTTTGACGATCTCGTGCTATACGACCTGGTAAGATGGCGCAGCTCGACTCTGGCTCCAAGAATGGCGTGGCTAACTCATTGTTCGCTCGCCCAACAGGCTCTCGATCTTGGCCTCAAGATCTTCACGCCGCCCGATCAACCACGCTACATCTACTACCCGGACCATCTCGTCGCGCTTCCCCCGGCCGGCAGTTTCGTCGACTTCTTCCGCGAGCCGCTTTTCCTCCATTCCATCCCGAGTGGGCTGGGCTTCCTCCTGCGCCGCATGCACAGCCGCGCGGTTCCCCTCAAGGACTTGTCCGTGTCGGCATGGCTGTACGAAATCAGCGGCAGCCGCGCCATCGCGGACAACGTCGCGTCTGCCATGATCCACGGGATATACGGCGGTGACATTGACAGGCTGAGTGCCAGATCGGTGTTTGATCGCTTCTACTGGGCATACTACCTGCCAAACATGGGCTCGGATCTGAGACAGATGACCGTGAGGGAGCAGACGTTTATGAGTGAGCTATCGCAGGATCCGCAGATTCGCAGCATGGCACTCAAGGCTCGCGGCGCCTTGTTACACTTTGGCGAGGCGGGAATGGATAGCCTGCCCAGGGCGTTGGCAGATGTGCTGGAAGCAACGCCCAATGTAGAGATTAAGAAGGGCCATCCGGTGCGGGATATAAGCTACGATGCGGAGACTGCAAAGGTCAATGTAAGTTTTTTTTGTTCCCTTTTGTTCCCTTCTTTTCCTTTTTTTTCTTTTTTTTTCTTTTTTTTTCTTTTTTTTTTGGTTGTCGGGACTTGACTACACTTTTGGTCGGGCTTGAAATCTGAGCTGAGCCTTGTTCAACAGGTCACGACCGGCAACTGGGCCGACGAAGCGCAACAAGACTTGGACAACAAAACGTCCACTCCTCACGATCGCGTCATATCTACCATCGCAAGCCAGGACCTGTCCCGCATCACCGCCTCCAAGCTGCCCAGCCTCGCCGAAACGCACTCCGTGTCCATCATGACCGTCAACATGTGGTACCCCAAGAAGCACATGAAGCCCCGCGGCTTCGGCTACCTGATCCCTCGCTCCGTCAGCCGCGAGCACAACACCGAGCGTGCCCTCGGTGTCTTCTACGACTCCGACGTCGGCGGCGCCGCGTCGCCCGACGAGCCTGAAGGTACGAAGCTGTTCGTACTCATGGGCGGGCACTACTACGACTCTGGCGCCCCTCCACCCTCGGAGTCAGACGCCGTCGAGCAGGCCAAATCTCTCCTGGAGCGCCACCTAGGCATCCCCGCCGACACGCCCTGCGTCGCCTTGTCCAGATTCGCCAAGGGATGCATCCCGCAGCATTTCGTAGGCCACAACGACCGCATGATGGTGGCTGACCAGCAGCTCCGCGACGAGTTTCACGGACAAGTCGCAGTGGCAGGCGGCTCGTACAGCAAGATTGGTGCCATGGGCGCGATCCGCGCCGGGTACGACGTCGCCAAGCAGACTGTCGGCCAAGGAGGATGGTACACGACGGGACTGGAGAGTCTGGAGTTCCCCGAACCGTTTGTCGGCGTGCCCATTTCGAAAATCCCCGTCAGGAGGTTCAGGCAGTTGGGGCAGAGGAGGGGGTAAATGCTCAAGCGAGGCTCGGCGGTGAAGAAGACGAAAATAGATGGCAAAGCGACGGGACTGTATAAGCATGGCGGTGTGGATTCCACCGCCACCATCAGATACCCATCAGCGATTCGCCGACACGACGAAGTAATAGAGAGCGGACGCCGCGGCACCAAGAGATGTGAATAAGCGAAAGCGAGTAGATGTCATCATACCACGTAACTGTGCGCGAGGGCTGTCTGGAAATTCATGAACCAGGCTGGCGAGAAGTACGGCAAAGTGCTGCAAGAGGCCATTGATCTATCATCTAACGGCCCAGCCCGGCACGTACCAGTTTAAACAAGGGCCATGCATGCATGCATGCCGAGCGCCACGCGAAAATTTGTGGAAAGCGCTCAACTTTGGTTAAAAAAACAATCCAACAGGTACTGACACCAGGTACCGCCGATTTGGGTGACAACCTACAAACGGGCAGCTTATCTCGAAAAGTGCGGGTAGCCGCCACCGGCGCTCCGCCGGAGGTGTCACTGTCAACCAACGCACCGTGGCGTACGGTACCGTAGTTACCGTGGCTACCGTATCTGACCGAGCCCGTGGACCTCGCTTAACTCGGGAATCGGGGCCTTCCGGGTGGATCCCTCCGCCATCCGCATCCCGCCCTCCGCGCCGGGTGACGACGTACCGTGATGGGGGGAGAGTTGTGTGAGTTGAGCGCCTCTTTTTTTCCAATTTTTTTTTCTTTTTTTTTTGCAACTTTTGCATTTTTGCTCCATCTCAACGGCGAATCATCTGGGACGAGCGGCATCACCAGAGGCGGCTTCCGTCCCGTCTGACTAGAGCATAGACAACGGCGGTTCGGGAAGTGAGGCAGTTGTCATTGGACGTTGGAGGGAAAACGCCAATGCTGTCTCCCCACCTGCGGAATATAATGCTCGGAACCGGCATGCAGCAAGCAAAACAAAGGGTCGGCACAAGTGCGGATTGGCGGTGCTGGACCCTGGTGCATCTCGCAGAGGGCACAAAGGCGGCCTTTCAACATCCGCCCAGTAGGACATCGAGCCGCAACTCTTCTTCGGCTAATTTTTTCACTTATTAATAAGAACATTTCTTGGGCCTTGGCAACAGAAACCGAGCCATGTGCTGACAGGTTCTGCGGCCCCAGGGATTCTCTTTTTCTTTGTCAAAGAGTGGACCTCTAAGCACGCATGCACGGAAAAGTAATGATGCATATGCTGGTTATTACAAATCAATTTTTTAAAGTAATGAGTGTACGTTCTTTTTTTCTCAGCCACACAACTGCCCGCCTGTCATGTAATCCTTTACGCTAATAGCTTTGAATAATACACTTTTTTTGCCCTTTTCAAAATACACTTGACTGGAAGCAAACCACGCACAGATAGATATACAACAAGGCGGGCACCAGGACGCCGATGAAAATGAAAAGACGCAAGCAACACCGAATACTAAATTTGTATAAATGGAGCGTCGGTCCGAATCCAGACTATTGTGTATGCATCATCACTTTTCCGCGCATGTGTGTTTAATGGGCCCGTCGAGAATTGGCGTGGTCGATTGACTCTTTTCTGATGGAAAGAGCCTAAATTGAGCTTGGAAAAGATTGGACTAAACATTCAAAATCACCGGGAGCGCCTGGGAGAGTCTGGGAATCAAGCAGGCATCGACAAGAGATGCTGCAAGTCATGCGTCCGGGAGCAGGCGCGAGTAATGTCCCCAAGTACGGCTGAATTCGGGGGCCAGGCGACGTATGCCCAGATGGAACCAGACGACAGAGCGAATCAATCCATCTTGGGAGACTGGGACGCGGAACACACGTCAGAAGGGGACAAGAAAAGTCGCCTGATTTTGACTCCCGCGGGCCGTGATGGCAGGGGCCCGCACTCGTGGCATGAAGGTCGATATTAAACGCCCCGTCAAGTGGTCAGACTTGGTGCAGAAGTCTATGTCTGACACGTGTAGCAATGTATCAATGTGGTAATGTAGTGATGCGCCGACTGTCTCTCCTGATGTAAACTTTGATACCCCTTTTTTTTTATCAAATGAAAGTGCCGTTTCATGCTCATTTACGAGTTGCCACCTTTTTACTTTTACTCGTCACTTTTTCTTCTCGTGGAAACGCTTTGCCGGGCCCTTCAGAGTATGATTTTCCGCACGCGCCCCTGTCATGTGCAACTTCATGCTCTCCGGAACGGAGACTCCGATATACACACGTCGCAGACACACGTCCGGGTACCACCTCCATTTCACGCCGGGCTGTCGAGCCCAGCGCAGCTTGCCATATTGTACTCCCCCATCTGGATGGATTAGCCAAGGAGAGGGGACTTGAAGTCTTCAATGAGTACCGTACCTGTGGGCGAGGCTTTGTTGACCTCGAGTTCCGCATAAGTTTTTTTGGTTTTTTTTTTTCTCCCTCTTAAACCAATGCAAGAGATTGCTAGCAGGGTTCCTGGCCCTATTTCTAAACATTATGCTTGACTTATATAGCTGATGATTCCAGGGTCTGGCTTGTATGCGGCACCGTGCCCGCCGTGCCATGTTCCCTGCTCCGTACATCTTTCATTCCTCCATTCTTTCCCTTTTTTTCCTGCTCATTCTAATTTCGCCACCGCGTCGTCGACTCGGCCTGCCTGCGCGGTATAAGAATGTCGGCAAAGCCGCATGGGTTGTCCGGCAGCGCCAACACCATCTATCCAACCCGAGCACCGGATATCGCCTACAAGACGACGTACAACACAGTACAGATATACACACTAGCCTTGAGAAGCACACACGATACAAACCCGCCATGGTTCAACTAGGGTGCACCAACTTGATCCTGCTGCTGCATTTGCAACGGATAAGCAACACGCTGGCATTGCCGGGAAACCGTCCGAGCGTCGATTTGCGAGTGCTGGGAGTTGATGATGATGAGCAAAATCAATTCATAGTACCAGATTTTTATGAGGATGTGGAGCCAGTGCAGGTCGGCCAAGGTCTGCCGAATGACGCCCTAGTCTATGTCGTGTCCTGGCTTGATCCCGAGGTGGTCGAGGCCGACGGCATCCCGCTGGAACAGCAGCTTCCCAAGTACAACTCCAACACCCTGACCTCGGACGATGACGACGAGGAGGAGGAGGAGGAGCCGCCAACCGTCAGGAACTATGGCTACACAGACATGCCGACCGCAGTCCGGTCTAATCTTCAACTGCTGGCACATGGACTCAGCCTGAGGGTGTTCGTCTTTGGTCAGGCGCCAAGTTCGCAGGGATACCACCCTAGAAACCTGATATGCATGTCTGAACCATTAGAAAACCTTAGACTACCTCAAATCTACGGGAGAAATTACTGGGACAGGGATCAGTGGGTTAATTACGGCAACGACGTCCAGTTTTCAGGGGGCAGATCTCGATGTAACCCAGGACCTAGCGGCGACAAGCAGCGAAAAATACAGACTGGCTCCAATGAAGCTACGAAGCACCAAGCAGACAACAACCTTCCGGGTAGGATAAGAAACTGCGCCCTCCCAACCGTAAAGAGGAACTGCTATAGAATCTTGAGCTGACGCTGCTATTATAGAGGCGCAAAACCCTGTCCCAGGGCCCAGCAGCAGGCAGCAAGACGCAGGGTCTAGCCGCGACAGAACGCAGACTGCCCCTAAGCCTTTAGTTAATTGCTCTCCTAATAAGCTGAAGCGTAAGGGCGAGGGTTGCAGGGGTCTAGAGCTAAAAAAGATTAAAGAGAATAGTAGCTTAAGGTTAGCTGTCGACAATAGCTCCCTAGGTAGGATAAGAAACTACGCCCCCCCCCCCTTTAAAACTCTAACTGTAAAGAGAAACTGCTATAGAATCTTGAGCTGATGCTGCTATTATAGAGGCGCAAAACTCTATCCCAGGGCCTAGCAGCAGGCAGCAAGACGCAGGGTCTAGCCGCGACAGAACGCAGACTGCCTCTAAGCCTTTAGTTAATTGCTCTCCTAATAAGCTGAAGCGTAAGGGCAAGGGTTGCAGGGGTCCAGAGCTAAAAAAGATTAAAGTGAATAGTAGCTTGAGGTCAGCTGTCGACAATAGCTCCCCAGGTAGGATAAGAAACTGCGCCCTCCTAACCCTAAAGTGAGACGCCCGCAGTATCTCGAGCTAACGCTACTATTGCAGGTCCGCGAGACCCTGTCCCAGGTCCTAGTGGCGGCAGGCAGCAGGAAATACAGGCTGGCTCTAGTAAAGGTGGTAAATACCAAGCAGACAGCAACAACAACCTCATAGGTAGGATGAGAAACCGCGCCCTCCTGACCCTAAAGATGAAGTGCCGTAGTATCTGAAAGCTTACATTACTATCGTATAGTCGCAAGCAGAATCGACATCTCTACCAGGGCCCAGCGGGGATCAAAGCAACTTCTCAAACATCTGGGCAGCCGCTGTTGAAAATTTGTCAGAGCTGTGGGACGAAGCAAAGCTGAAACAACTACTTTTAAATGGCCTCGATTGGCTGTCCGCCAACCCTGGCATACTGGGCGCTATCAGAGAAGCCGCTCCTGCTTTGCTAGAACTCATGCGCCGGCTACAAAAGCAGGGAAAGGATCTTCGTTCCTGCTTCGGTAGCAACCCCGACGGCGGAACACTAAAGGCGCGAAGAGAGCAAGGTGAGTTGACGCAAAGGCCACACGGCTGGGTATGTTATCCTCACGGGAGACTCGCCCGCTCACTCTCGGTATTAGGCAAACAAAGGAACTACTGCGATACGCTGCCTCCTACGCCGGACGGGCCCCCGCCCAAGTTCGTCTTCTACAGCGGCTTTGAATGGCCGGCCGAGGCAAAGTCACAAGGGGGTCTTCTCCCGCCGAGTGTTTCGATATACGACTCCTTCTCCCGTGACACCCTACAGGCAGTCTGGCCTTTTGTTTCATTCCTCCTACCCTGGTCGCCGATGATCTCGTTGAAAGGTCTTCGATGGATCACATCAACAGTCCTCTACGGCTCCCTCTTCTTGGGAAAGGCAGCCGAGGACGCGGCAACGAAGGCTTCCAACGCAACAGAGGGGTTTTCCGGTGTCGTTTACATCCTCTCCACCACGGAGAACATGTTGATCTCGGGCGAACATGTCGCCATCGTAGGAGGTGCGGTGTGGCCGCAGGTCGCGGGCTGGATCCAGGTCCCGCATGGCTACAGGTTGCCCGTCATCGATGGCATCCATGACAAGGCGCAGTTGGGACGGCACCTTGTAAAGGCGTCGCAGGCCGGCTTCAACCCTTTCCAGCCGAACCCTGACTACGACCGCAAGTTCGACGCGTGTACTGCCGGCAGAGGGACCCTTAACTTTAGCGACGCCGATGCTGTGGTGGATTTCATGAACAAAAATGGGCAGGCTGTGGGCTGGACGGGTGCTTTTCCCCTTTTCAAGCCAGCTGCCATCGTCACGCCCGCGTCTTCCAAGAAGGACAAGATGGCCAACGCTGTGACGCCGCCTCACGAGCCAAGCTTTTGGGAAAAGGTCAGTGGCTGGTTTGAGGAACACGAGGTGGCGATTGCCTTGATTTCAGCAGCCGTTCTTGTTCTTGTCCCTGTTGTGGGCGAGATGGTTGGTCCGGCCATAGCTGCGATAGCTGCAGACGGCATAGCCACGGCAGGGGGCGTCGCGGTGGAGGGCGCAGCCACGGGGGGGAGCATTGAACTTGCAGAACTCGGGTTTGGAGCGGAGGCGGGTGCCGGAGCCGGAGCCGGAGCCGGAGCCGAAGCCGGAGAGACAACTCCTCTTCTCGGCAACAGTCGAGTATCGAATAACTGGGGAAGTTGGAAATCGATATGGAAATCGAAGACGGAATAAGCGGCCCTCAATGAGTCGATGAGCGGGCTCTGGACCTGCGATTGGCAGAGTACCAAACATTCCTCGCGGGCCTTGGATGACTCTTGGCATCACACTCTGGTCGAGGAGGGACGGCCCTGAATCCCGATACCTGGCTACATAGGCTGAATACCAAGAGCAAGTCTGCTTTCCGTTGCCCAATAGTCTTTATGACCGACGTCGTGATACGCCGCGCCAAGTGTGGTTCGGTTGGCTCATCATGGCTAGGCTCGGTTGATGTCGAGAGCCACCGCCAAGTCTGGACATGTGCCGAGCCTCGTCCGACCTATCAAAGACCCTGTCTGATGTTATTAGTCATGTCCACACGTGCACAGTACCGCGGTCAACCCGCAATTACCGCCTGGACGTAGGTACCCTGGGGCACGACGACCCCGCAGTGGGGCTTTTGGCACCAGAAGGAAAAAGAAGGCCCAAGAGTAAAAAAAAAAAATTGAAAAAAAAAAAAGAGGGAGAGAGAGATAGACGACGACGACGACGGCGACGACGGCGAGTGGGGTCCGGCGAGCGGGCGGCACTCGGCTTCCTCCGACTGCCCAGACCAGTGACTCAACTCAACAACTTCGATCTCCCCCGCGGACGTGGCCCAGCGCCCCAAATCAAAAGTACCATCACGGCCGCTCCCAACTTGTGTGCTCTCCCTTCCTTCTCTCCAAGATGCCCATGTACGTTATTCGGACCGCTTTCTGCCCAGATCCACTGCGTACCAAAGGCCACACACGCTGACCCTGTGCCCGCCAAATTCCAGGCTCAAGGAACCATGGAAGAAATACAGGCCGTTCCCTCCCCTCAACCTACCCGACCGGCAGTGGCCTTCGAAAACGATTGAAAAGGCGCCTCGATGGCTGGAAACCAGTCTCCGCGACGGAAATCAGAGCAACCCGGACCCGATGGTGCGTAAACCCCCCGTCGTCACACTACTTGGAGAGATGCTTGGGACATTGTAGCATTCGCCCGTGCTTGGACGGCCGGCTGATGGTCCAGACACCAATCACAGAACGGGGACGAGAAATGGCGTTTCTTCAAGATGCTCTGCGATATAGGTTTCAAGGAAATCGAGGTCTCCTTCCCTTCTGCCTCTCAGACCGACTTCGACTTCACGAGACGCCTGGTCGAGACTCCCGGAGCCATTCCAGACCACGTCGCCATCCAGGTGCTGTCGCCTTGTCGCCCTGATCTGATCAAGCGCACCGTTGAGGCCGTTCAGGGTGCCAAGAACGCCATCATTCATATCTATCTTGCCACCAGCGAGTGCTTTCGGCGAGTCGTCTTCAATTACTCTGAAGAGGACACCCTTGAGCTGGCCGTGCGTTGCGCCAAGCTCGTCAGGTCCCTGACAAAAGACGACCCCTCTCAATCAGGCACCAATTGGCAGTTCGAATTCAGCCCCGAGTGCTTCTCCGATACCTCACCTGCGTTCGCCGTCAAGGTCTGCGACGCCGTCAAGGAGGCTTGGGGGCCTACAGTCGAGACGCCCATGATTGTGAATCTTCCGGCTACGGTCGAGAACGCCTCCTGTAACGTGTTTGCTGATCAGGTTGAATACTTTTGCAGGCACATCTCGGAGCGCGAAAAGGTCTGCGTCAGTGTGCACAACCACAACGATAGGGGTACCGCCGCCGCCGCCGCCGAGTTGGCTCAGATGGCCGGCGCTGACCGAGTCGAGGGATGTCTCTTTGGAAACGGCGAGCGTACCGGCAACGTCGACCTGGTCACCCTCGCCCTGAACCTGTACACCCAGGGAGTTCCCTGCGGCTTGGACTTTTCAAACCTGAACCAGATTATCGACGTGGTCGAGAACTGCAACAAAATCCCCGTCCATCCTCGCGCTCCATACGCCGGCTCCCTGGTGGTATGTGCCTTCTCGGGAAGTCACCAGGACGCCATAGCGAAATCGATGCAAAATCGCCGGCGCGAGGGCAAGACCTACGAGGACCGCTGGGAAGTGGCGTATCTGCCACTGGATCCAGAGGATATCGGCCGCACCTACGAGGCCATCATTCGTGTCAACTCTCAGAGCGGCAAGGGCGGCGCTGCCTGGATCATCCTACGCAAGCTCCACTTGGATATCCCCCGCGGGCTGCAAGTTGCGTTTTCCAAAGTTGTCCAAAAGAAGGCCGACAGTCTTGGCCGTGAACTCCTAGCCGAGGAAATCACTTCTCTTTTTGAGGCGACCTACTTCCTCCGCGAGAACCCTCGGTTTTCCCTTGTGGACTACTCCATCACCCCTGACCGCTCACAGTCTCCTGCACCGCCCTCGCCGGGCAAGACGCAGGACACCAAGAACCTAATGCGTGTCTTTGAGGGTGTCATCTCCGTTGATGGTAAAGAGATCAAGCTCCGTGGACGGGGCAATGGTCCTATCTCTAGCATGGCAAATGCCCTCAAGGATCTTGGCATCGACCTCGACGTCAACGACTACAAGGAACACGCCATTGGCGAGGGCCGTGGCGTCAAGGCTGCATCGTATATTGAGTGCAAGATTGGCAACACCAAGCAGACGGTGTGGGGGATCGGCATACATGAGGACGTGGTCCAGAGCTCCCTGATCGCGCTGCTGAGCGCCGCTACCAATGTAAGCCGCCGCGGAATCATCTCCTGGAGCGACTTGATGTCAATCCGCTGTCCTCTCTGGTTCCCGCAGGTTTCGCTGACACATAGCTGCAGTTCGTCACGAGCAGACCCGGAAGTCCTGTTTTCAAGCCAAATGCGGCTCGTCCCAAGGCGCTCGGCCCCAACGGTGCCAATGGCGCGGCCGAGGAATCTGCCGATGCTCCTCGGGAGACTGCCGGGGTAATTTCTATGCTGGAGGACAAGGCGAAGGGCATGTAGTGTAGGATACGGGGCGACGCCGGAAGATGGCGCGCTGTCCATCTTTTCTTTTCTTTTCTGGTTGTTCGTCATGTGCGGGAAACGGGGCCATGTTCAGGAATCTGGGTCAAGAGGGAAAGTCATGGAGAGGGAAAGTCATGGAGAGGGAAAGGTCTTGGGAGGCAGAATGTCGGGGCAAAGGCAGACGCACTCAACGTACTGTATGTAGTCTGTACCCAGAAAGTGAGCTCGTTGAAGATTGCGTTTGGCTGTGTGCATCTGCCGAGACATGCAATGTATGACGTAGCTCAGGTGCTTGGAAGACCTTTTTACGCGTCGCAAGAGTACTGGACGAGACTCTAGATGGGCTACAGCAGGGAGCAAGCCTTGGGCCACGGGCAGCTCGTAGGGCTCGCCCCCCGTCGTGACGACGGCCATGGCGGTGGATCGTGGGGACTTTTCGGGGCCTACGGCGGAGGCCGGGACGTTGTGACTCGGTAACTTACAAGTCAATCGGTTGAGCGGGTGACGTATCACAGACGCGGGGATTTAATTGATACATGAGACATATGTGGCTAACGAGGCGAAGACTGCTCCGTACTCCGTACAGAGAGACCAGTATCGCTAGCCAGGAAAACTGTGCGTCATGGTCACACCTGGCCTACGTACTTTGGCATTGCTTCTTCCATTCAAGCCACCCTCTGCGCTGGGCCCCTTGATCGCGGGCCTTGGCGCCTCGCGTCGACCCAACCAAGCGTGTGACAGCGGAGCATCCTGGACCCTCCCCGTCTCTGCGTGCTTGCCGCACTTCGGCCGAGGCCTCTGTCGGCGGCGCGGAAGATCCAGGACCGTGAGACACTCCCTCCGCTCAACGGGGCTGCGTTTGTCAAGTCGGACGTGTCGGGACGCGGCTCACTTGTGACGGCAAGGCTGGCCGATGTAGTTACGTGCTTCGGGATTGGCAGTCAGTTCCGAAACCTAGTTGACACTATGCGCTTTCGAGACGTAACAGCGGCTGGCGGAAGACGCGAACAAGTCACAGAGGGCTGGCCTTGACCCGTCTCGAGAGCCAGTCATTGCCGTCGTCCTCACCTTGCGCCTCTGCATCCACGACAAAAACCGCGAGAAACAAACGCGCCCCGGGGCGTCTTTCATCCTGCCATCCGTTGCCACGCTCATGGGGGGCAAGAAGAAGGAAAAGGGTCCTTGGAGGAATTAATTTTGTGCATCTTCTCCGTTTTGAACCTACATCTCGGCCCTACAAGCCGTCTTTTGAAACTTGTCTAATCGAATACTAATTTGAGTGCCTGCTTGGGCCATGTATCGCGCTGACTTGAATTCGGCAGTGCAACGTTAAAGTCCTCGCAACTCAGACCATGGAAGCAATCCCTCCCCTTTTCCGCCATGCACTCTCAGTCGTCACGTATGACGCCCGGTCCCTCAGCAACGGCCCTGTTGATCTGGCTATCCACAGTCAGTCTGGTGTCTGCCGGCGCCACCAGGACGGCCAAGGCGGACCTAAAGTCGGCCCTTCCCAGCAGTAACTGGCCATCTAGCTCCCTGTTGGACGCGACGATAACCGTCTTCTCCGTCTCAGTGAACTCATCTAGAGCAATGAACAAGTTGCAATTCGTCTCTGGTTCACCCGGGAATAGACTGCGCACGATGGCGTCGCATTCAACGGCGGAGGCTCCGAGCAAGGCGGGCGGCACTTGCGGTGCTGATTCTTGGAAATTGCCCGCTTTGCCCGAGTGAAATGGTGCTTCTCTCAGGGAGGTGACAAAGGCCATGTGGGGTGTGGCGGTTTCTTCGTCGCCCCAGTCCTGATCGTAAGTCTCTTCCAGGAACTGGTTCAGAGTCTGGATAACTGCCCAATTAGCCGACGTGGTGATGCAGAGTTATGCGAGCAACGTGCCTTGAGGCTGACTTTTGCGGTTTGGAAGATGGGGATGCAGGGAGGGTCTGTGTCTCGACCTTCTGCATCTCCATCTGTGCCCCAGTCTTGATGGGGAGGGTAGTCCCCCGTGTCTATGTGACTAGGTCTAGATCTAAACTCGTCTGCCCTCTGTTTGCTCCAAACTCCACCGATCATGGTGGCCTCGTTTCGCAAGTCGCGCACGACTTTTGTAAGCTGATTCTCGGAGGATGCTTGGATGGCTGCGAGGGCGTCGGCGGCTGAAGCCAGCTCGCACCGGAAAGCGATGTGGATGTCATTGCTCTCCTCTTCCTCACGTCCATCTACTGCGATCTGGCAAGTCGTTCCATCATCGTCTGTAGTGTCGTCGAGAATGACAAAGGATTTGTGACTGATGTGGCCATAGTCTCTCGACTTGACCGCATCCATGAATTCGCAGAGACAGTCGTGTGCATCTGGAATGTCCTCAGTGAACGGGCTTATGAACGACTCAAGCCTGTCGTCATCTCGATTCGTTATCAGCTCCCAGAGATCCCTCTTGGCCACCAGTACGAGTTTGTCGCCGGAGAGGAGGTCTCTCAAGATCTAGCAACCGTCATTTTCAGTCCAAACTTGGAGGGTTCAAAAGTTTAGTGCAGCAAACCTCGGCCTCAATGTCTGCCGTGCAGACAATTGGGAACCGGACGTCTGGGGTGGACTGGCTGGACGACGTGACAGCCATGACGGAGGAGATGCGGTGAAAATTGCCTGCAAGGGACGGCTCTTCCAACAAGGTCGGTTCGGAATGGGGATCCCAGTGGGCTTGTTGAGTGGTGTCAAGTTTGGCCGAGTCATCGAGCTCGAATGGGTTTAGCTGTCTGGCGTTTTGCACCAGAACTCAGAACAGTCGAGCGAGCGAGCCACGGCGCTTGAGTAAGGTGGAAAGCGCGACGCAGAGGTTGACATTAATGATGGAAGTGTCAAGTGCATATGTCATGTAGTTACATGTGTTATGTAACGCACGTACTCGGAACGTACTCACTAACTTGCTACCCCGGTGGACCATTCAGCACTCAAGTAGTCAATACTCCGTATACTTGAGTACTTAAGCATGTGTGCAGGTCATTGTCTGGTGACGATATTTTATGCAGGACAATGCAATGCACAATGCACCAGGTCGGTCTCGGCCGGTCCGGCTCTGCATCTTCCAGTCTGCATCTGCCACCGCCATCAATCAATCTTGCAAAAGCGGCACACGAACCGCGGTCAAAGATGAGAAGCACCACACTTCACGACGCGCCTCGAGGGTCTCGGCAAGCCGCTCCGATGCAGCTTGGTCAGAAGAACGTCAATATCAACTTGGTAGGTAGGGAGGCAGTCACCGATGTACACGGTTGGTGATGGCCGTTGGAACTTGATCTGTTGCACCAGAGACACGCCGGCAGCGTTACGGCGCCACCAGACTCTTTCTCTGCCGATGGCCGACTGACCCCCATTGCGTGTGGTAGTAGTCCAGGCGTTTGTCACGGATGCAGGGACGACTCGTGAGATACAGAAATCGTCACTCCCGACAAGGCGGATTAGGGTTAGCTTGGCTGCAGAGCCACCATCTGCCCGAGGATGCGTTGCAAGGTATTGCACGGCCTGGCTGGGCGGCCTTGACCCCGAGCCCGAGGCCAAGCCTGGGCCGGCCACGTTGATCAAGGCTCTGTCCTGCGCGGGCAAGGTGCCATGCCATGACGGCAAATTCCAAGAGAGAGCAAGACAAAGTTGGGCAGCGCCTGCGACTCTCGACTCCTGCGAGGCGCCAGCCTTGGCAGAATGTCTGACCATATGCTCAGACATGGCATAGTACTAATGTCGAAAGCGGCACGACGTTTCTATAAATAACCGCCATCTTCGCATACCTGGGGCTGGCCGGCTCATACACGACTATATCTCTCACGGCAACTGCGTTCAAGTAAACGTACGGAGCAAGGACAGCTACAACAATTTGCCAGTCACCGACACATCAGGCCGCTCCGCCACGGCTAGGGAACTTCCCGTCGTGTTTCAGCTGAACCAACGTGGCGTGTCGCATCCGAAAGGATGCCTTCGGAGCCCCTAGTTATTGGAAGCGGCGTGCACTGAGACTTGTCCACAAAGCAAAAGCTTAATGAGCCTGACTGCCGAGCTTTGGAAACCTTGGCTGTCTTCCCATCTATTGCAGAACGGGATGTGTGTCTGCCAACGCACCGCAAAAAGGAACGTCCACCCGCCCCGTTATCAAAAGTTGGTGCGGGTGCTGGAGTCCCATATTGTCCCACGCTGGCCTCGACCGCACGTACTCTGGAATGAATGTGATGGGCGTGGAACGGCTCGGATGTCTCCATCCATCGAGAGGGTGTCTGGGTCGAGGTGTCGTCAACACCAAACTCTGCCGTCTGTATTTGTGGCTATCCGTGCTCGCTTTATATGTCACGGGGTCTGCTCGCAATGTGGCGTCTGGACGCAGTGGTGGAAAGCCATCACCATCAGCTACGTGCTTGGTGATAGTTGCAACCCAAGAATAGCCCTGGTTGGAACCACGGTTGGGGAGGCTCTGTCCATGAGCCTGTCGCCACCACAGACTTGCCATTCACTCAGTTCGCGTCCCGCAGTCGCACATGTACGTCGGTCCCGGTTCTCGCACTCGCTCAGATGTTGCGTAGGCGGCTAGGGAATGACATATCTCCTGGGTTCTGCTGCACCCATGGGCAATGGGTTCTGCATCTCTTCCCATGTCTACGCAACGAGCGTCCAAAACAAAGGAACCTATCCACTGTCCTGGCCTGTCCACGCCTCCGCTTGCTGCTGCTGCTGCTGCCATCACGCACCTCAACATGTCCTGGGAGGCCTTTGGGCACGGCCAGAGCGTCGTCAGCTTTGTATCCGGTATCGTGACGGTGGTCGGCGCCGCGGCGGGATTGATCGCCGCCGGCCAGCAGATCAACAAGCGCAACTTTGAGAACAAGTTTGGGCCAACGCACTACGAGAAGGACTGGATGGGATACTTCGCCATGAAAGTGCCGCCCTGGTTCAAGGCCCTCGTGCAGCCGGTCCCTCAGCCGCCGAACCTGCCCGCCGTCTCTGGCTTGATAACGGCCGGGGACGACGGCATGTTCACGTCCTCCATGGTTGCGTGGATGCAGCCGGGCTACCAGAAGGTTTCTTGGCTGGCCCTCTACGAGGCGTTTTTCGTCGAGTACGCGTGGGACTGCTTGTGGACGGGAAAGGAGGCAGCTTTGCGAGACGAAGACTTTTCCGACTTTGTCGACAAGGCAAAGGAGGAAGTGCAGCGGAAGATTGAAAAGGCGGAATATGGAGACGCCAACGCCCATCCTCCGGTGAGCTTGCCGGCATGTCGTCGTCCTCTCCCGAGCTGACGTGTCAAAAGGTGTTGAGAGGCGTGCTGAGGTTGATGCGCTCTACTTACTTGCTGTTGGCCTGGGCCATCAGCCACGCCGTCTGTTCGACAGGATCAAGGGTCATTCATGCCATGTTCCCATGTCCGTCGGCCCAGACGGCGGCGGCGGCGGCCTCCGGACTCCGTGTCGAGACGATATCGCCGCTTCTCAGCGAGATACCCGTCATCGATCACCACCTCCTCTACTACAAGTGGGGACCTACGTCGACGAACTCAAAGACCATAGACCGTTGCAAGCGCGATGTCGAGGCGGGAAGCAAGGTCAAGCTGTCCCGGTGCGCTGGCCCGCTGCTTGTCAAGAGCCTACACCTCAAACGCTTCGAGACGTCTGTCTGGTCCTCGTACGACCGGGGCGGTTGGCCAGAAGACCGGAGAAAGCTCTGGACGTACAAGGGGAAGCCGTGCCTGGTCATCTTCCGACACGAGTTGGAGTCGTTGGCGGCCTTTCTCGGCATCCAGCTCAAGCTCCGCCGTCCTCGCCGACCCGAAGGCACCGGTGCATTCGGTGCCGTCTTGGTGTCGGAAGAAGACTCGTACACGCACATCCGGCTCATCTACGAACGCCCGGGGGGGCATGAGTACAAGCCGGCCGGGGGTTCTGGCTATTCGACGCTCTTCGCAAAACACATGGTGTGCGGATGTCTCCCTTTCGCGCACACCGTGTCCGAGGACCAGAGCATCGTGGTTCACACCGCCGTCGTCTCGGAAAAAACCAAACAAGACGTCAAGGCTGGTACGCCCTTCGACAGCCGCGGCGCGCCCCCGTCGGACGAATCCTTCCCTCCGCCCTTGTCGAATAGCGGCCTGGCCGTGACTGACTACTGCTTTCCGTATCCCGCGACCAGTAGTGGTGACGGGGAGCGCGAGTGTCAGGGCCCGGGGAGCTTGTCATTCATGGACGGGAAGCGGCAGATCGACGCCGGCACGTGGAGTGATGCCGTTGCCGGCGTCGCATTCGGAGGGCTCGTGCCCATGGCAACGAGTCCGCTCATCGACATAGTTGCGTACGTCGTTGGCGGCAGGGTAGAGAAGGAATCGGAGCTGTCTGCCTTCTGGCGCGTCATGACGGACATCTGCGAACATGCCAAGAGAAGGGTCCCCGGGGCGGCGTCCATTCCTCTGTTCGGCTCCGCGTTCGATTCCATCGCGCAAGCCAGCTACTGCACACCAGCTTCGTTCCACGACCTCTTCACCGGCGCCGCGAATGTAGACGAAGTGGTTTGGGTCCTGAGCTTGTACACGACCATGCTCGAGTATCTCATGGCCGCCATTGCGCCGGGGCAGGAAAACAGAGACGCAGACGCAGAGCCGCAGCCGCAGACGCAGACGCAGCAGTCGCCAGTACAGCTAGTGTTTGAAGCATGCGTCGCGGAAATATCTCAGCAATATGAGGCCGCAGTCAGAGCCACAGACGAAGGAACTGCCTCTGGTGACCGGTCGAGCACAACCGTGACGGCGGACCAAGAGACGGAAATCGAGACGACGCTAAAAGAAATAAGTGACAAGCTCAAGAATAATGAGGACATTACCGTGCAGGACTGCGGCAGGGTGGCGAGATGCATCATCATGGCCTGGGCAAGGCTCGTCAAGACTGTCTCCTGGGAGAAGGAGGAGAAGAAGAAGAAGGAGAAGAAGAGGGATGCCCACGCGGGCTACGTGGTGCCTCCGACCAGAGACCTGCCGTATATAGCTGCATGGGAGTAGTCCAGTTCTTCCCTCTTGACCCTTTGCGTCTCTTGCCACGAGTCCACGACTACTGCTGCCATCTGTCTGACTTGCCAAAGACGCCGTCGCAGAGAAGTCTTCGGCAACGCAGCCAAGACAAGAGTAGGTGACGGCGGGAGTGTGTATCTGTATGCGCAGAAGACGAGCTGCACTCACATTTCACACAGTCACGCGTACAGGCAGAAGCCGCGGCACGCTGGTCCACGCATCCCATTATTCAGTCATCTCTGCTGTGGCACTCTTAGTCAAAAGAGCGTCTGGCGACAAGAGCCCCTCGACCCCTCGGCATCTATTACATCAAGAATTCCCCAGTGTATATTGTGTTATTTGCTCCGCGAAATTGTCGGGACCGGCCAAGGTGAATCGGTGCAAGACCCAAATGCTAGTCAATTCTCTAGTGCCTATCCATGAGCCATTGGTCTGCAGGTGCAAATAAGCTATCGCGCAAGAGAGTGAAACCAGGCCGGCGATCAACACACTTACTTGCTACAACCCAAGTCGGTGCTCTACTCGACCATGACCACGTCTCGTGCGCCATCTCTCGTCGCTCAAGCATCGCGAACACAGCCTACAGAGAGGCCTACGTCTAGTGAGTGAGTCCAAAGCCTGCATGCTCCAAGTCCCGAGACTCCTGCCAAGCACGTCCCTTGATCCTTTATACATCGAGTGTCAGACCCAAAGTTTGCCTGGAAAACTCCCAAACCCCTCCGTCTCTCCGGATACACCGCAACCTCCACATGGACACGTCTACAAATGCTCCCCCTCGCCGGGGCATATCGTCAGAGACGCCACGCCACGTACCTCCTCTACCACGCAAGGGCAAGAAGCACACGGCATACTCGGCTCGTATCCGACTGCCCGTCAGTACAGACCACCGTCCTCTATCCTCCATCCTCCAGCGTTCTGTACTCGACACGGTCGAGCATCACCATCACCATGGAGAGGGAGAGAGAGAGAAGCACAAGTGCCAGTGACCGCTGCTATATTTCAGCTACATATCCCCGCTCCTCCAAACACAGCGTGGTATTCTAACTCCGCCAACCCATTTTATATCGAGGTATCATTAAGCGTAGCATGCAAAATCCTTTTTGAGGAAGAAGAGACATCCGCTGGCTCGCATTGCGGCGGAAGCGAAAAAAAAAAAATAATCAAATGATACCGGCAAGGCCGCACCCCTACGCTGTCCCCACGGTCGTCTATTCCAGAACAACTACTTCGTTGCCCTGCGCCGCGCCGGCTCCCCTGCTTATCGCGTTCCGAACAGCCTCGTCCACGGCCAGCAACATGTGGACGACGCCGCTTTGCGGAGACCCAGCCGCGCCCGTGCAGAGGCCGATCCAATCCTCGCCTCGTTGGTTCCAGACCCGTTGCAAGGCTGTGGAAACGCCGTCCTGGGCGTCTGTTTTGGCGTCGGAGCGCCAAACGTGCCACCATGCCTGGCTACGACGGGGCTGCATCTTGACTTCCAGCCGGACGGGGTGCGTGAGCGTCTCGGGGTCCGACGTGATGGTGTATTCGACGCTCATCCATGCCACCGTCTTCATGGAGAACTCTATGCGGCCCTGGCCGGCGGCCTGGATTGGCTCCCACTCGGTTTCCATCTTGTCAATGGCCTGGAGGGCGGGCAGTGACGCGGGCAGCCACGCAGTCAACACGCCAATGCCGCCGTCACTATTGACCAGCTGTCTCATCAGGTCGAGTACTCGGAGGTGGGGGTTACCCTTCTCGATTTCGATGTCAATGTCGTCGTTGGACAGATCTAGAACCACACGCCACCGCTGGGGCTCGTCTTCCATAACCTGGTCTTCTTCTTCTTCTTCTTCTTTCGTCTCTTTCGTCCTGAGCTCGCTGTAGTAGAACGTGATTTGCCGTAGAGTCACTGATTCGGTCGTAATGGTGCCGCTGGCACTCTCGAGTGCCTCCAAAAAGTTGACGAATCGGTCAATGGCCTTGATTCGTGACTTGAGCGTGTCGAGTATGGGCTTGCCTACTGCGCGTTGAATACGCAGAGCAAACTCGCGTCGTCTAGGATTGTAAGATACATCGCGGTCCGCGAGACCGTCAAGCGAGGCAAACCTCGAGGGTTTCCTAACCTTGAGGATCGCTTCCGACGTGCAGATCAGCTCGTTTTCCTCGGTTCCGTCGTGGCCATTTTCGGCCTTGGATAGACATCTTATGCCCCTGAAAGTAATGCTGACAATGTTGTCTGCCCATGCTTTCTTTCGCACCGACGTAGCACCCGAGGCTTGTTGGATCAGCGATAGAAGCCCCATGTCACCAGGCTGCCCTTCGCTGTTGGACAACCCGTCCTTGTCCGCCTTGCTTTGGTCAAAGACCATGGAGGGAAACAATGCGGAAAGCGCCACGTCGGTTGATGGCAGACGCGCTGTTTGAGCGAGGCACAAATCAAACTTATGACTCGACCTGGTCTTAATCTTCTGTCGATGCAATTCTCTGATGTCGACTGCCTGGGCAATGATTCCTGTGGTCAAGAATGACAAATTCTCCCAGAAAGTGTCTGACAAGTCTGGGTAGCCGTTGTTGAATGGTAGTTTTGCCTGGAATCGGAGTGCTTTGTTTGTCTCATTGGGATTGCTGTCATTCTCATTAGTCTCCGGGACAGGTCACAGGGCGAGGAGTGGGAAAGGAGAGCTCACGACTCGAGCAGCCACCATTCGTCGCCATTTAGGCTCAACACAACGACCACAACCCAGTTTGAAGCCCATCCGTCCTTCTGCAAGCAGATGACGCGAGTCCAGTCTCGCACTCTGATTGCCAGTTTGAGTTCTTCCGCCGCCATTGGTGGTTTTCTGAGACGCCAACCCATCAAAGTTGCCCTACGGTGTAACTCATCCTCCATGATTGCACAGCGAAGAGCCTCCAGGCAGTTGAGACCATCCTCCGCGGGATTCCTTCCCATGTTAAGCTGGTGTTCAGGCTGCATGGTAAACCTGGAGGGCGGTTTCAGAGCGAACACGCCCGTCATGGGTTCGACAAGCATTGAAATTTGTCCGCTGTGTCCTACTTGCGTCGTCAAACTCGAAAACGCCGGGTCCGTACTCGAAACTCGAAGAGCCATGCTGGCCTCGCGGCTCTTGAATCGTGCCGCTGTAAAAAGCTTGTCGCGTATGCTGCTGAGGATGTGTTCGATGTGTCGAGCAATGACATTTGTTAGTAATGCTTCTGCCGAGAGCTCATTCACGTCAAACCTGATCTCTCCTCCTTTCACCTCCTTGTTGTCGCGGTACCACTTCGCCACCAGTCGGCTTGTTGACGATATGTCCTCTTTACTGTTGCTTGAGCGATTACTGTTGACTGCAATCAGGATCCAGCTCTTGGACCCCATGGTTGTAGACCGTCCCGTCCAGTATTGGATTGAAAGCGCCCGGTTCAGAGGTTCAACGTTTAGTGTTCCTATCCAGGAGGTGCGACTTAGTTGCGTGGCTTGTCTTTTCAGTTCATTAATCTTGGTCGTCAACACCAGCTCGTGGAGAAACTGGTAGCAACCGTGGAGACCCTCTTTCCCAAGGACATCATTGACGCAGTTTTCGAGATGATTTCGTAATGATTCAGGGATCGATGAAGCTGCCGGTTTAAAAGCGTACCGAAAGTCAATGAACCAGAATTGCTTCTCGAAATCCTCATCCGCAATGGTCAAGTCAACTTCGAATTCGCCGTCAACCTTGAAAGTAACTCGTCCAGATCCGATCTCGTAGTTACGAAAATGATACGGGATCTTGTCAAAGTCCTCAAGGTTGAGCCTCAATGACAGCAATGTGTTTAACTCGTTCACCCACTTCAGCTGAACTTCCGGTGTTAGATGGGGGGGTTCGATATACCCAAGCTATCAAGCCCGATTAGTCGCCATCCTGTCAAATCGCACGAATCAAGGATTGTTTCAACTTACATCAGGCATCCAAGGAGCACTCCCGGTAGAGAGTACTTGGAGGGCCGTCTTTAGATCCGGACTCGGCATGCGGGCAAATGCGAGGTCCCGTTTCACATTAACCATCTCGTCGAGAGCAGCGTCGTAGAGGATCCTTTGCTGATCTATGTGAAACTTGAGATCGATAAGTTTGCTGACAAGATGGGCTTTCCTGCTCCATTCTGTGATGACGAGGGCCTTGAGCCACTTTCCATGCCATTCTTGCGCAAAGTTGGTCAGTGCACCCTTCTTTCTCAGGTTTTCTGCCGAGCTATCGTCTGGTGCGCTGGATGAAAATGATGAAGTGCCATTCGCCGCCGCCTGCGGGAGCGGCATCTTGGCCATTTCGGCGATTTTGTCTTGGAGAGCATTGTGTGAGGTCTGCGCCAGGCGCGTGAGAAGAAGTGATAAAGGGACAAATCCTTGGGTGATATGTACAATTTCGTCGGGGAGGTCGTTCATGCGGTTTGTCATTTTTTCGGCATCTCCGTTTCGATAGCATTCTAGCGATCGTGATTCGTCGTTGCCGTTGATAGTTCTGGCACTGCCATCTGTCGCCGCAGCATCGGAAGCTTTCTCCTTGGGGAATCCTGCGCCCTGCACAACGCCATTGGCACCGTTAACACCATTCATGGAGGAGTCCCTATCATGATCGGTGCGCGTGCCATTATGGCCGCTCGATTCCATTGTGATGACGCCGGGCATTTACCCTCCTCCAACGGCCCGCCTCTCCGGGAACAGTTTCCACAGCCGTCGCCCGTGACAACTTCGTTAGGCAGACGTTTGTGGTTGGACGTCGTGAGGAAATGGTACCGCCGACCATGGGGGCTGAATTCGGTTATTGCAGAGGTTAGCGCAAGAGGCGCATGCTCTCTGGGACTCCCGTCCCACGCAGTGTCCGGCGTAAGGCGCTAAAGCACGTGGAAGCGTCGCATGAAAGGAATCGAAAGCCCTTTGGCTATTTGACAGTCCTATATCCAAAGGAAAGAGAGCGGTCTCCGGCGGCCGTATGGTTTATGATCGCGTGTTGAGGTCGTGAACCCGAAACAAAGATCTCGCCTCGAAGACTCGGGAGGGTGACAAGGGGAGGATTGACGCGGCTGGAGGATGGATATCGTAGAAGGCTGTAGTATTGATACTTGATACAAATACAAGTTGATATGCTGACTCCGGTGTTCCCTTTTTCAAGGGATGCGATGACGTTTTAGGTGATGCAACGCGCGATTGCGGCGATTCTGACTCTGACGGGGACGAAGTGGTGATGCGGTCATGGCAGCTACGGTTCTGCGCTTCTGGCACAAGGCCGGGTCATGTGAGAGCAGGTGCACGAGCCACATTTTCCGTTCTTGGGCGTCTTGGTTATTACATAATCCGTCTCTTTGGGTGGCATGTGGAGACTCCTGTCGGCAAAGCTAAACGCCAAAGAGGAAATCTTTCCAGCGACCACCCAGATATTGAGCCATCCATGGTCTCTTATATTTTTAAACACACAACATGCAGTTCAAGAGTCTACAGTTTAGCCAGTTCTTTGCGCCAAACTACCATGAGCTGAAATTGAAAATGTTTTGCTCTATTTATCCGGCCGGTCCCCATCCGCTGGTGGACATTAAGTACCGACAAGCGCCACAAAGCACTCCTTTTGTTTCATTTGCCGTCAATAAAGCCAGCCAGCCACCTTAAAAAAAAGCCGACTTCCAAAGAGCGAGTGGGTCCCATTCAAAACATGACTCTTTGAGCATTGCCGTTCAGCTGACAAGAAATTAGCTGGCAATTCCGTAGAGGTGAAAACGTTTCTAAAATAGCACAAACATGGTCAACGACGGTATCAACGACTTACAACTTGTTTGGTGGGGCAGCCGTAGTCGTGGGCCATTGGTAGCCGGCGGCATCACTGAATTTATAGCCGTAAGAAGCAGTGAAATCATCAAGAACCGCAGGACCACGTGAGCCTAAGCATAACCGGCATCAGTCTATCCAGTCCTAGTAGAGTGTCGGGGCTCAACATACCGTATGGATACTCCATAGGGATAATTTCCTTGTTGTCATCCAGGTAGTGGAGCAGGGGGGTGAAAATGCGCCAGCTAGCATCCAGCTCATCGTCGCGAACAAAATTGGAGTGGTCGCCCTTGAGACAGTCCAGGACCAGAGATTCGTAAGCCTCGGGAATCTTGAGATCCGAGAATCGTCGTCGGTAAGTAAGATCCAGCTCGGTAACCACAGTCTGCATGCTCAGACCAGGCAGCTTCGAGTTCATCTTAATGTACACACTCTCGTTGGGCTGTATGCGCATGACCAGCTCGTTTCGGGGGATGTCCTTGAAGATACCAGAGGTGACGTCCTTGAACTGGATTCGAATCTCGGTCTTTTGCTCGTTCAGGGCCTTGCCGGCCTTCATGATGAAGGGAACGCCGTCCCAGCGCTCGTTCTTGATGTACGCGACCAAGGCACAGAACGTGGGGCATCTCGAGTCTTTGGGAACAGTGTCATCTTCCTTGTATGAAGGTTTGCTGCCGTCCAGCGACTTTCCGTATTGTCCAATAATTACATTCTTGGGCTCGATGGCAGGAATAGCACGCAGGACGCGTACTTTCTCGTCACGAATATCTTCCGAGTCAAATGATATGGGACGCTCCATGGCCAAGAGGGTCAAAACCTGCAGCAAATGGTTCTGCATGACGTCCCGAATAATGCCAAACTCATCAAAGTATCCTCCACGGCCTTCTGTGCCGAATGGCTCCTTGAAGGTGATTTGAACATTGTCGATGTGGTGTCGATTCCAAGTTGCGCCAAGAAAGGAGTTACCAAATCTGAGGATGAGAATATTCTTGACCATTTCCTTACCAAGGTAATGGTCAATACGGAACAACTCCTCCTCCTTCCAGTCAGGTTGGAGTGACTTTTGCAGTTCACGGGAGCTTGCAAGATCCTTGCCGAAAGGTTTCTCGACCTGAAACAGCCCCAGTCAGAAGGCAATGCATCATGGTTGGCAATGGAGAATTGGCTGGGGAACAAATCGACGTACAATAACCCTGGCAATGCCCTTGGGCGGGTAGCAGCACTTCTTCAAATGCTGTGAAACAATTGTGAAAACGCTAGGAGGAAGAGCCATGTAAAACAATCGGTGAGTCTCGGGGCGGCCATCTTCAATTTCGGCCAGGTGGCTGTTGAGGTTTTCAAAAGATTCGTCCTTGTCGTACTGGCCCGAGATGTAGGAGCAAAGGCCCAGGAAACGCTCGAGCTGCTGCTCAATCTCCTTGGTAGGGGTTTTGATGTACGACTTGATGCGCTTGAGATACTCGTCATGGTCCATCTTGGTGCGCGCGTATCCGATGATTCTCGCGTCCTTGGGCAGAAATTGATTTCGATACTACTGCCGGTTAGCACAACAGACGCCGGTGGTTCAACTGAGCCCGATGCACGAGGCCACAGCTCGAAGAGACATCTGCTCACCAATCCAAAGAGCGCTGGGTACTAAAGGACAGAGGCAGGCAGGCTCGTTAGCGCAAACGTCACGACAGGACATGGACTGGATTCTTTGGGGACAATACGAGGCCCTACCGTCTTCTTCTTGGCCAAATCGCCCGACGCGCCCAGCACGACGATGGACGTATTTTCCTTCAGCTCCATGGTTCTGCTGTATGTCGGCGACGAGGGTCAGTACAGTACAAGACGCGCGACAAGAGGGAGTGGGAAGCTCGGAGACAACGTCCTCCCCCACCCAAAAAGAGCTCCCCAGCAGTGCAATGGTGGGGTAGGTGCGGTCATAGCTCGTAGGATGCGCTGGAACCCAGCACTTGAGAGGGCAGTACACAAGGGACGTACGCGGTGTGGTCCATGATGAGCTCTGCAACTCGCACCAGGCGACAGAGATTTCGACGGCTCCAAAGATAGAGTGGAAAAGGAGCACGGCGACGGTCGGAGAATCGAGGATCAGCCCGGGCTCAATAGGAGGGGCGCAGGTGAAGGAGGGGGAGAGGCGAAGCAAGTGTTTCGGAGGAGATGATGAAAGATGTCAGGCAGTGGATTCGGACTACAGCGGAACAGAGGACCCAGACAGGCCGGGTATGGAGTTAAAAACGAAGTTGACCTCAGCTCCTGTGGGCGGCCCCAGGGGCGGGCCAGGGTATCTTGGGCCTTGGCAAGCTTGCCATTGCCCTACACTGGCAAGTTAAAAGTAAGTACCAATTAACTAGTAAGTCGAGCTCCTGCCAGTCGAGCCAGCTCGATTCAAAGCAACCATTAGGCCAGTCACCTGGTGCAACCCGAGCCCAGACGCCGTGCTCCGTAATAGCGCCTTGTTATTACGGCTGCATGACACAGCATTTTGCGCATCATCACTTCATCAAAACCCTCCGCGTCCGGTCCTGTCTCACGCAGTGACTTGGTGCTGATGAGACGGCTGGCTGATGACGGACAAAGCGGGGCAGCGTGGTGCATTAAGTCTCAATCCTACTTAAGTACTCGGTACGGAACCGTCTCGTATAAAGTACTCCGTGATACAAACTTACGAACCTACTTGAGTAGGTACCTAGGTAGGTACCTAGCACCGCAAGTCCCCAAACGTTCCCCTCAAAGCTCAATGCGGAGGGCATGGAGCGACCCAGGTACGTAAGTAAGTACATTAAGTACTTGAGGTTCCCCTCACCCTCGTCTACTCGAGTACCAATTAATATTTGCACCTCTGCCACTTTCTGCATCTGCATTTGATTTGAAGTGCTCAAAAGATGCTACGGTAGGATTCTTCCACTTGCCCGTTTTGCGCCATGCAACCTACTTAAGTACCATCAGCCCGGCGCGACTCGCTGCAGACATTGAGCTTGCACCAGGGGTCAGCTCGTACGAGACTCCGAGCCTTCCGAGTTTGCGCCTCCACTTGCACTCGTCCACTTGATCATCACGATTCACGGCCCTCGGAGTGTGTACCTAGGTATAAGTATGTAACCGTCTCCTGTAGTTCTGCCAAGAAGCTCAGGGCCAACTTGGCTTTGAATGATGGAGTTTGAAATGCATATCTCAAATATTGGTCTGTTCACCCACTCCTAGTAATTCATATCCACGCTGCGCATGCCAAGGCTTGCTGTTGCTACGTACTAGCTGATGTCATGGACGTGCGTACATATAGAAATACTATCAGACCCTGTTTTCTGCTCATCCGTCAACTTCTTTTTTTCCAGTGCATATTTTCCAGCAATAGAATCTCTTTCAAGATTCTGTCTGTCGCCCACAACTTTGCACAATCCTTGTCCCCGACAATTTCAATCGTGCGTCGGCGCAAGCCAGTATTCATCCAGGCCGTCATCTCCAGCCCACTAGACAAGATATCTCAGCACATAATAAATGACCCGGGAAAGAACCTCTCATTGCTCCTCTCGATTCCATCGCAGTCTCTGGAGGTGAAGGTTGATAGTTGATGGGGGCTATGGTGACTAGATTTATGTCCGTCTATTCCCACCGCGTCTCTTGCACCTGCAATGCGTTGATGATGTTCACTTCGCGAGTGGAGTGAGTGGCTAGGCGTAGCCCATGTGGCGGTGCAACCTTCCGCCACCAGGCTCTGCGCGCAAAACTGAAGATGCTGCCCTAATGACCCACGTGATCTGGAGGGCACAAATTTTCGTCCTAGTGACACCACACACCATTATCGCATCCACTCCTCCTCAGCCGAGCATCACGACACAACGACGTGC